CAAGCAGGGCCGGGCTGTGCGTCGCCCGCAAGTCGCCTCATAGGGGTCCCAGGTTAGGTGCTGCTATCGCGAGTTTGCTTAGATGGATATTTTGGACATAGAGTATACCTTACATACCTGGGTTAGACTTATAGAGAACCCGAGGGCATATTACGGTTAACAATTGGGATTTGAAGAGTTCTCACTGGTGGCGTTTCGTGAATCATTCCGTCAACATGGACACTACCAGTCTCCACAGGTATCGATGCCGAGAGCCAACGAATACCAGCGCATACATGCATAGCAGAAGCCCGAAAGTCCACATACATAGCCAACTATCTACAGTGCAATACCAGAATCCGTGTGAGTGCCAGGTACAACAGCAGTGTTCCGTGACTATCGATACAAGTCGTGTAAGCATGTCGTTTAAATAAAATATGTACAGTAGAAGAATCAATCGTCTTTCCGTGAAGCGTGGGCTCGATTGTCACTTCGAAGACGAAGACTGAGCCTGAGTCTGGGGGTCCGTCCTGGGCAGATCATCCACCTCCCACGATCCCGGGATCAAAGCAATAGGAAGCAGCCATGTAGCCGTCAGGATCACACCGTTGCCTACGTAGAAACGCGATCAGCCCGAGCCACAGATGGCTATTCCGCAGTGATGTACGCACCTTTATCAAACGTCTTAATGGCTGACCAGCTCCACGCGACGAAACCGCCAATGTACCCGAGGTATGGGACAAGTCGCCGTAGGATCGTCATCGCAGGGCGGAACTGCGGAGGAACGAGCTTGATGGGGAGGTGGTCGAGGAGCCACTTGAGCGCCGTCGTGATCATCGCTGCGCGCTTCGTCGCTTCGAGTCTTTTGTTGTTGAGCACGTCGAGTACGGGAGGGGGGAGGTATCTGGGTATCATTTTATGGTGTTAGGCGAGTATCGAGCGAGAGTGGAAGGCCACTTGCATTCTGAAACCCCACCAGGTCGCTTGGACAGATATGTTGGTCAGCGATGGCAGCCAGACGCGGTGAGGTTTGGGTCCCGTGTGTGCTTCTTGGGGACTGGGCTCCCCGGCACCATCATCCACGCGACTACTGCCCGCTTCGTCTGCTTTTTGCTTTCCCTTCCACCTGGGATCGCCTTCTGATATTATGGCGGGGCCGTCAAGCTGAAGAGGGAACCGTTGTGGCGTACGTACTTCCTCCCCATCTCCATTGACCGACACGATCTCGGACAATGCGATTTCGACTTCTGAGCCCTCCGTTGGCTCGAGTGGGGCATACATCATGACGGACGAATCGTCGTCATCAGGGTCTACACCTACATTTCCCCCCGCCTCCTTCCCCTCTTCCTGCGGTCTACGAAGGCGGTCGAGGACCGACCAAACCGACTGGCGACCCCGCTCGATGGACCCGTTCATGATGGCCGACGATGTCAAGAACGCCACGAGCTTCGAGTCCGCGAATGTCGACGACCCGGGGGGAGGCGTTGGAGGCGGGCCATCGGTGTCGATGGCGGGGGGAGATGCGGGGGCGGAGCGGAACCTGGAGGATGTGGCAGATAGGGAGGATGGTAAGGAGGAGATCATGGCTTGGATCTTGCGGGCGAGTGTATCGGGCTCGGGCGCTTCTTCGGGTACGTCCTCTGCGTCTTCAGCAGTGTCTGGGATAATACTCGACGCTACCTCTGCTTCCTTCTCTTCGTCAATCTGAGGAGTAGGCGGCAGGGGTTCAGCCACGGGGTCGACCGCGTCGCCATTGGCTTTCCCCTCCCCGACGAACCACGAAGAAGGGGGGAAATCGAGTTTCTTCTCCTTCCGAGCGTACTTTAGAAACCTGTCAACTGCGGACAGTTTCTGCCTCGGAATCTGGGAGGACGAGGCTGCGGGTTTCACATCGGCGGTTGCGGTCGACGTGGACGATTCTGTTGTGGAATGACCCTTGCTGAATGAACGTACGAGACGAGGAACGAGGCCTATAGAATTATTCTGTGGCGATTTTTGGGCGGAGGATGCGTCAGACGCCATCGATGCCAATGTCCAAGCCTACCCCACACATGTGGCTGTGTACGTCGTGGACCCATTACAGGTGGCAGTGCAGCTCACGCTTAAACTGCCAAACATTTCTTCATCCAATGAATTGGAGACCTACCAGCCTGGCTACATTACTCCGCCCGTTCGTGGTGGCCAAGGTGGTAACGAGCTTACACTATCACAAGATTATCTTACCCTGCAAACTAAGACTGCAACTCACGTTGGACCCTGGCTTGGCTTGAACCAGGAAGGAGTGGCAGGTTATGCTGCAACGAAGGCTAACGAGGGCCCATTCAAGTGGCAGTTACTTTTGACGCTACTCACTTGCATCCTCTCGTGTTCATGGTACTTGTTACTTAGCATTAATATTGATCGCCTTGTTTCGCCATCCAGTGAGCCTCCCCCAGTTACATCTGTACCCCCATCACCATGATGGAGTTTCCGTCCAAACGCTCTAACCATTCACAGGATTTAGAATGAACACGCTTCCTCGTGACGTAGCACTAACGCCCCCTGCCCCAAAGTTGGCTGTACAAGCAGGACTCTTCATACCAAGCTTTTTCTGGATGCTATTAAAGTGTACAGGAACCTAGACTCTCGTTATGAATCGCCTTGTCTCTCTGCCACTGTACCACCAGACCTCTCGGCCCATGCTGAAATTCCTCGTTGCACTGACTCTTTCGACTTCGATTGTTGCATCACTTTCGACCACGGCACCACCGTCTTCGCCAGCTACTGTGGAGGTTAGTGCGCCCACAACAGGTCCTTCGAAGTTGACAGGAAAGACTCCTGCGCTTGGGTATGATCGCATGTTGAAATGCTCATGCTATGCTCTCCTGACAATTCACAAACCACAGTTGGAACACCTGGAACGCGTATGGTTGTTGTAAATACCTCCGCCACTCATTCTTTGGTTTCTTATTTCTGATAAAATTTCGTAGCTATCTCGGAATCGCTCGTCATTGCTGCGGCCAATCAGTTTATTTCTCTGGGTTTGAAACAGGCTGGGTACCAGTATATCAACATCGATGTCCGTGAAGTAGGATATTTTCTATGCCATACCTTGCTGACGTTTTCACTTCCGCAGGACTGCTGGTCCGAGAAGGATCGCGACAACACGACCCAGCGCATCGTCCCAGACAGCACTAAATTTGCGAACGGTATTGACTCTGTCGCAGCCCAGGTCCATGATCTTGGTCTTCAAATCGGGATATATAGGTTCGACCACCTCCTGATATGAACGTGAGGATTAGTATTAATCGTACCTACAGTGATGCCGGGACCAACACTTGCGCTGGGTACCCCGGGTCGCTGGGCTACGAAAGCATTGATGCGGCAACTTTTAATGACTGGGGCATTGACTGTGAGACACTTGGCGGTTCATCCCCGATTTCCGCCTAATACACATCTCCCCAACATCTGCAGATTTGAAATACGGTGATAATTCTCCGCGATACGACCTTCGAGCGTTTGCTTGCCCGGTCCTCAGATAATTGCCATGTTCCTAGTAATTGGACTGATAGCGCCGTAAGACCATCATTCCAACCCGAGAGCTTCAGTATGTAGTATGCTGACAATTTGATTAGACCCCGCCAGACGGCGACTGGTAGTGCGTGCAGTCCTCATTATCCTCGTGCTATCGTGTTAAGCTTGATGGTGCAGTAACTCGAATTCTGCTATTCGATACCGCCGGATGACGTATGTAACTTATACCTCAGAGTGAGGCTATTCGCTGAGCTGGTCATCTAGAGGTGCTCTCGCGGCCCAGTCGCGCCCAGTCCAATTCAGTCTGTGCATCTGGGGACGTGCCAACGTTTGGGGGTGGGGTGCACGAGTCGTAAGTTGCTCCCCCATTGTCATCTCCCTCTCCAGCGCCGCTCAACCAATTCCAGGGTCATTCGTGGCGCATTTCTGGTGACGCAAAGTAAGTCGGGACATGCGGTGTGATGTCGCTGTGTTCACTGGTTTTATAGCGCTTCGTGGGCATATATCACTTCAATTATCAATATCAATGTCGGAATCCTCGACGCTGTCACATTCTATGCACATAACGATATGGATATGATGGAGATTGGGAACGGTAATCTCACAATCGAAGAGGAACGCACTCACTTTGCTGTTTGGGCTTTCTTGAAGAGCCCCATACTACTGGGCACAGACGTATGTCATCGCTCCGAACCCGTTCCAAGATCTAACCCACTTTTGGAAATGTAGCTCAGCAAGTTGTCGGCAGCCCAACTCGCCATTATCACCAACGCCGAACTCATTGCGTTCCACCAAGACCCTCTCGTCGGCGCACCCGCCAAACCATTCAACACGACGCCCACATCACCAGCTACGACACCTCCCGAGTACTATACTGGTGAATCCTCGAAAGGAACTCATGTCTTCATCATCAACCTTTCGGATGTGGCCGACACCAAGGTCTTTGATTTTGCGAATCTGCCCGGCCTCGGAGACGGGACGTACATGTTGTGTGATATGTGGATAGGTGCCCCAGTGGCCGGGGGTCCGTTCACGGGGAGCTTCTCCGTTAGTGTTGCTGCACACGACACTGCGGCGTTCTTGGTGACCCCATATAACGGCTAGTCCCCTTGATACTTGGAGCACATGGCATCACCTCGCCTTTGACATCCTGGGTATCGTACGACACGGGCCTTGCCCCTGTATATAAGGCTTTATCTATCCGTTTGGCATTACTGGCTGCGTCTACCCCTGTTGCAGTGAGGTTTGCATAAGATCTTGGTCAATTTCTGAATCAACACCCGGCAATGACATGAGCCTGGACGGAACCAAGAACTGTATATATTACCTTGTCTAACAAGGTCACTCATCCCTCATAATTGTAGCTGTGCGTACCCAAAGGATGCCGCCGTGGGAATGAGCCAAACAAACATGCCGATGTGACGAGCACAGTCTGACAGGGCATTATCCATTTCCGGTCGATCACTTCCAGTTTAGATGTGCTCCTCCTCACCCGCTTCTGAGCTGAAAAACAAAGCTCTCCTCGCATTCTGAGCAATTTCCCCTTCAACAATGTCCCCTTCGGGGCGACATACGAAAAATTGGAACGATACAGAGAAGATTAGCATGGCCCCTGCACAAGGATGACACGCTTTCCCGGAGTGGTAGACCTACGGGTCTCAATATTTATTGCTTTTTGCATCAAGACTGGCATTGGAAGGTTAGTAGGTACTCATTCCCTTTTTGGGAAGACGCGGAAATTTGTGTGGCTTTGTTTGGCAAAGGCTTTGGGATCACACAAAGGCAAACAACAATTCAGTATACCGCAGCCACCTATTATATGGTGAACACGAGCCTTGTAGGTGGATGACCTTTGGGGACAATATTGTGCTGGAGAGGGCTCTAGCAGTAGGACCTTTGGTTATGGCGTCGAGGGTATCGATATAGACTTGGTACGAAATCTTCTCAAGCATTCAACACTAATCATTTCGTCAATTGCTCTTGCCCACGAACCGCTTGACTGAATTTCTCGGGGTAAAACAAAGGGTGAAACACTTCCATGGTCCTGTCTGCAGCTCTTGAGGCTAGATATGATGGCTGCGAAAATATTGTGGACACCTTGTTGGCCGTTGATGGAACTAGAATTGGCAGTGTTCGCAGAGTGTCCAATCCTGTCCAATCTGCTAATCCGCGTAGCAGCAACTTCACGTCATATCCGCTACGACCGAAAGGACTCGAGCAATCCCGAGTTCAAACCACCAAAGCGGCTACATTTCATTTGACTGGCGTCCTCTTAGTATGCCCACCCCAAGAGTTTGCCACATTGCGGCGTTTACGACGCAACCTAACACCAAACTACATGTATTCCTCAGGATGGCTAGTGCCAACATGGGTGAGGCGATGACGCTCACCAGAGGAAGTAAAAGACGGTGTCCTTCACAAGGACTTCAAGGACGTTGACGTCGTTGATACCCTGGGCCCTATATCCGGAGACAAGGTCCCCGATACCAACGCTTTCCCGGAGTGGTAGACCTACGGGTCTCTATATTTATTGCTTTTCGCGTTAAAAACTCGGCAAAACAGCCAGATACTAGTGTTAATATGCTCCTGTCGGTTTCTATCATATAGTCATCGCGGTCCTCATAGACCAATTCCGAAAGTCAAAAAGATATCCAATGCAAGCTGGCGGAACCGCCGTTAGCAAATCAAGATGATTGGTGGACGGGGTCTCTGCTGGCGCAGCTCGGCCCCATCTTTCATATAGCAATACACACGTCGAAATCTTTAGAAAGCGAATACGAATTACGAATAATGAAAAGTAAGTTGATTGGGATCACATGGAACTAATGCATCGCGCAGTTGCAGCAATCCGGAAGTTCATGGGTATCACAGTGTGCCTGGAAGACTGTTAGCGATGTACGTTCGAGCAGCAACATGTAGGCTTACTCGTAGTATTTCTGGACTCCTTCGCCTTCCATGATTAAAACATCTCCCTGTGGAACGCCAGTGGTCAAGGTTGGGCATGACGCAAGGGTGTTCACTTACATGGCGAAGTATTAATGTGAGGTCATGTTGTGTTTGCTTTGTCGCCCCGTGAGCGCGGAAGTGCATGAACGCCGTAGAACCCAGCGAGAGTGAAGCTACTGTCGGGCCGAGACCTTTCTCGCTGTCACTATGGAACTACCAGTGGGGTTTCAGCGCATGAGGTCATGTAAATACACGGACGACTTACGGACATCTTCTGGCGCTCCATGTATGCTGCGCTCAGAATCTCGTTGAAGGGTATGCGGCGACCAAGTGCTAGACGGGCGCGGTCCTGAATCAGCCCGAGGGCCTGACAAATACAGGAAGGTGCCTCGTCAAAGGATACTGTGTTTCCCGTTCCGCCAACATACTGAATCGAGGTGAGCGTCGTCGAAATTGACAAGAAGGGTGCACGCTATACCTGGTATGGTTCGCCAGCTGTACACAAGATCTTCAAGTTAGCCAAATAGTCGTTACTTGACAATGCGAACGACGTACTGTTTTGAGAGAAATAATTGGTGAGCAACGATCCGCGCACTGACAAAGTAAGGTAAGGTTGCGACAAAGATTATATCTGTCGATAGCGTACATTTATGCTGGACGCAAAGTAAATCAACTACTCCTGCAGCAACACTTCACAACTTACATTTCTGAGAGGGTATCTTCGAAGTTTCAGCTCGCCCTTGGAAGCCTGAGTTTGGTATTCCCTGAAGATGCTATCCGCAATCTCGTTTGCAACAGGGTTCCCTAAGATAAGATGAATTGTCCCTCTGCACCGGGAAGAATCAACCGACAATCGTAGTGAAGGCTTAACTTGACTTACCGTCGATCCGGTAGAATAAAGGTAAGGCGGTTTGTGAAGCCTTTCCCATAATTGAAGGGCTCGGGTAGACGAGAAATGATCCCTACACTGATGTCAGTCGTATTGGATTCTCAAAGGACGAGAAATGGTACCAGATTTTTTCCCGACATGCGAATGCAAGAATGTCGAGGATGGACGCTGATGCCAGAACTCGTTAGGTTGACGGAGGCGGCCATTGACCGGGACATGTTGCTGGCCCTGGTCAGCATCCAGTTTGGAAATTCCAGTATAAAATGTACGTACCCCACAACCAGCACATTCCCAGCCCTCCCATTTAAATCTACAATATCAATCAGCTGCGTGCTTGATGTCTCTTCAGGATGGTATCACCTGCTAGATAATCGACCGCAGCCCGAACAATGCCATCCTTTGCTGAAAGCATAGCTGGTCGTCACATTGTCCGGTGGGTTAGCAACGGTAGGGGGACATAGTGTAGGAAGAGTTTCGAATCTTCCTGGTAACAACCGAAGAAACTCCTCATCGTATTCTAGTTGTATCGGAGGTCTCTCGCCGGTTTGGAGGCACCAAAACGCAGAGCATCGGGGACGGAGGCACATCCAACCGTGTTTATACACGGTGGCACTATTTCGCGAGCATTTGCTGCACTTCTGCATGGCCTTCGACGAGGATTGTTGCCTTGATGAACTATCAGCCACTGTCTAAATTATTAGAGCAAATCGTACCCATGTAGCGCTTCAGGAATGATCGCTTCCGGGATACACAGAAGTTAGAGCGCTTGTCGAGTTGTGCGATAGGATTGACTTACCTTCATGTTTCGACAACGAGTTACCGTTAACTTGGCCATTTTCCCGTGAAGATGAATCCACAGGCACAGTTTCGAGGTTAAGATCTTCCGTTGGCGGGATTTCAATGGCGGGCGCTACAGGAATTTTCGCGAGGTCGACTGATTGGTCCAATGAAATCCACCAAGGATGGCCTTGTTCTTCACACCACTGAAACGCGAACTTGTATCGAACAACGTGCCCACGCTCGTTACTTGCAGGCTGACGTTCGGCTTCGAAATGATCAGAATAAAAATGTCCACAGCTTGAACGTACTTACCCCACGCATGCGATATCCAGTAGGCCCCAAGCACGATGTACGTGCATCCCGAAGCGACAAGGTCAAATGGAAACAAAACATACTTGTCGTCCGCAAGAAGCACCAGCGGACGCCTGTCCTTATATGTCTTGAGCAGCGCACGTACGGATATGTCTGTTGCCTCCTGATCGTCTGCTGAGAGATGCCGCTTATCCCCGTTTGCTAGGTCATATGTGCTCTCAGCCTTTCCGCCCCTTTCGCGGCGAGGTCAGATGTAACGTTTGGCACTCAGCATACTGTGGGTGCGACCACTCACCCATGTGATATAATCAGTTTTCCCCTGTGGTGGAAAATGTCTCGACTGCACAAATCGTTGAGCAACTAGCCAACCAGACCAACGCGGACTGTGACCAACCTCGCAGAAAATGCGCTGAGTAAATAGCCTTTCACGGTATCCTTGGAAGAGTATACGCCTCCCTGATAACTACGGAAGTACTCCGTCGATTCACAGATCTCCTGTCGAGACTGTTGTGCAATTTTAACAGGCTACTCGAGCGATTCGAAATGGAAACAAAGTGGAGACTCACTGCCGCCCATAAGGGTGGATTTCCCGGCAGGCGTGGCTTACGCTCGGAAGTCACAATGGACTCCTCCACAGTTGGCTTCGATGTAGCATTGTCGTCGGGCCCTATGACGTCAAAAGGTTGCTCTACCTCCTCCCCTTGAGTCCAGTCAGCTATCGGAGGCATGCTTTCCTGGGACTGCATCAGAGCACCAGCAGCTATGTCCTTCAAGTAATGGTCCACGCCTTCAGCAGTCAGTTGATGGCTACTAGCTTGAGGCGCGCTGATCACTGCGTCACGTTCCCTTGGATTCATGCGCTGCGAGGAAACCTTTCGGGGTAAACTTCGAATCAACCGGGGAGCCATCGGAAGGCTTTCCACACGCGGAACTTCGACCTCACCCGATGTCGCTTCGTAGTGTGATCGAGATCGTTTCCCTGAAATATGGGCGGACTCCATCCCGGGGATTCGTAGCGCCACTGGGCCACAGGTCCCCAGACGACCAGAAGTTGAGGCGCCATTGGTGGTAGGAACATCGTTCGGGCCTTGGCTGGCCCCTGCCGTGGCGATAGACTCGGAAGCATCGCCGATGGCTGACAGCGCAGGAGCTCGCTCAACTGCAGGGCTATTGCCGAGTGGTGCGGGCAGGTACGTAGTTTGATCGGCCGGTTCGTCTGTACCAGGACCACTTAGACCGACGTCCGAGCTACGGCGAGCGCGTTTCGAGGCGCGAGGTGGAAGATTGGGTTCGCGGTTGGCTTTGGAGTGCCGTTTTCTGGTTCCGTCTTGCCTTTTCGGCGCACAACTTGCTCGACCAGATGATTTGCGACTCGGTTCGGCTTCAGTCGGATCCAAAGACGCCGAAAGAGGTGCGGGTGAGTCTTCACTTTGCTGAGCATGGGATGGGGCAGGTCCTCCCGAGGAGCTGGGCGCTTCAATTACAGTAAGAGGGCTGACGATGTCCTGAGGTGCGGTATGCCCGACCGAAACCGGGCTTCTCCTGGGCTTTTTGCCCCTCACCCCAACTTGTGTTCCCCTCACCGCGGGCTTCCTCCCCCTCGTTGCAACTTGCCTGTCGCGAGGGGGGGCCGGAACCGGAATAGGCTCAAAGCCATCATTGGGGTTGAGTTTATAGGCGCGCTCCTTTGCCATCATTTCAGCGAGCCTATCGTGGTTGGAAGCTATTCGCTTCGGTCTATGGCTTTCGGCGAAGGAGAAGGATATATCCTGAACTGAAGGCAGCAGGGATGATTCTTCCCCAGAGGATTCGAGGGGTGTACTGACCGGAGTTTTCTGTGTCTCAGCTTTGCGTTTGATCGGCTTCGGTTGTGTGGGAGCCGCGTTGTGTGGTGACTGAAGCGAAGTCTGCTGAGAATTGCTGTTCGATTCCTCAGTGCCGAATGGTTGTGGATGTGAAATTCCTTCTGGTCGAGCTTCAGTGTCTATATGTGCCGTCGCGCCATCGACAACCGTATGAGATATGTCTATGCCGCCAGACCCCTCCGCTGCGAAATTAGGAGATTGAAGCCTCAAACATTACATCAAGCGCACGAACTCACCATTTGCAGATATTAAGATAGCGCTGTTACCTGTATGTTTCTGTTTCTGTTTCCGCTTCTTCTGCTGGCGTGTGGCGAGCGTTGGTGCAC